ACAGCAAATGATATATCTGGCATTGTACAGTTAGCAAGATACATAAGTACACCAATTGCACTGAGATATGGTACTTCAGGATCAAGTATCTTTTCATGTTCCTTTCATGGTTTAAAGGGATCTTTATTAGGATCTAATGATCTGACGATCATTGGAGTGCTTAATGTATGTGCTTTATCCATATGGAACCGCTTTAATACCTTTTGGGTATAAGCAGTTTGGTGGATAAAAATTTCACTTTCTAAATACTCAATTTGTAAACCAAGGCAGAAATTTATCTTTCCACAATCTTTGATCTCAAATTCTTTCTTCAAATATTCGACAGCCTTTTGGATCTCTTCAGGAGTTCCAATCAAATTGAGATTATCAACATGTATAGCAATAATCACAAAATTTGACCCATTTTTCTTGATAAAAACACATGGACATATTGGGTCATTGGTATAACCTTCTTTAGTTAAGCATTCATTGAGACGATTATACCACTACGTCCAAATTGCTTAAGCTCATACAAAGACTTTTGTATTCTAATAGAATACACATCTCTAGGATTTGATTTACATGCTTCAGGCATGTTGAATCCTTCAGGGATTCTTATGTAAATATCATTTTCAAGATTTCCATACAAACAAGCAGTGACAACGTCCATCAGACGCATATCAAGTTTTTCATGCACTGCAATACTCACAAGATACCTAAATGTGATCATATCCACTACAGGTGAATACGTTTCATCATAATCAAATCCAGGCCTTTGTGAAAAATCTTGGACTACAAGTCTTGCTTTATATCTCACAATTTCATTCTTTTCATTCATTTTTCTCACAAAAATTCATTTATATCCAACTGGCTTTACACCTTTAGGTGTTTGGACTACAGGTCCAAAAACTTTCCTTTTAGCCAGTGAATTTAATTCAGATTGTATCGCATCTTTCTATTTTGGCCAATCATTTCTATACCGACATTCATCAACCGATCTAGGTTCATAATCCTCGTCATTTATCATAACATCAAGTGCTACATTATATGCAAAAGTACCATCAACAATTATTTCTCTTCGGTTCCAACTTTTTCTTGTAGTGACAAAGTTTATTGAATTTTCTATAACTTCATTCTCTTCTGGGGTTGGCTCTTCGGGAGCTGGCTCTTCAGGAGCGACCTCTTCAGGAAATTGAATTTTGTCATTAATTATTGATTCATTTGATCCTCTTTTCTTTGTAGAATTTTTATCTTTGGAACCAAGAGATCTCCCACGCTTCAGGCGTGCTTTAGATTCATTAGCACTTGTGATTTGTCCTTCAGGGACATTTATTTTAATCGGAGCATTTTCAGCAAGAATATGTGATTTGGTGACTTTTCTGGAGTCACTAAGTGCATCCGGTAATTGATTTGCAATATTTTGCAAATGTATGATCCTTTGAACTTCTAGTTCACATTCGTTTGTACGAGAATCCAGAAAATTCAATGAAATTTTCTAAATAATTTCCTTTTTCGGGATTTTCTTTTTCGGTTGATCTGTTCCTCCCCCTAATGTCGGGAAATGTAATTCATCAAAATGACAATCTGTAAATCGTGCAGTAAATAAATCACTTGTCAATGGCTCAATATATGTGACTATAGAAGGTGATTCATACCCGACATATATTTCCAATCGTCTTTGGGGGCCCAATTTACGACGTTGAGGCGGTGTAATAGGAACATAAACTGCACAATCAAATATTCGTAAATGAGAAATATTGGGTTCAAAACCAAATACTAATTGTAAGGGAGAATAATTATGATAACTAGTCGGCCTGATTCTCACAAGTGTTGTTGTATATAATATAGCATGTCCCCAAGCAGATAAGGGAAGCTTAGACCTCATCAACAATGGTCTAGCAATTAATTGTAATCTTTTAATAAATGATTCGGTTAGACCATTTTGTGTGTGAACATAGGCTACAGGATGTTCAACAAATATCCCAATGGACATGCAATACTCGTCACAAGCATGTGACGAATATTCACCAGCATTATCTAGACAAATTCTTTTAATAGGATAATCAGGAAACTGTACTCATAATTTAATTATCTGAGCAAGCAATCGCGCAAACGCTATATTGCAAGTAGATAACAAACATATATGTGACCATCTAATTGATGCATCAATTAGCACCATAAAATATTGAAATGGTCCACATGGTGGATCTACAGGTCCACATATATCACCATTGCTATTTTTATTTTTCAATATGGTGTGCGTAGAAGCACTATCAATGAGACAAATGTCATCATCACCATTATTTGATCCCAAATATTTAGCATTCATTTCTTCTTCAGGAAGAAAAATTCAAACAAAAAATAAACATTAAGAAAGATGCAAAAATAAATATTGAATGGAAAGAAAATTACATAAAATATATAAAGCATCATAAAAATATCTAAACAATCATGGGATATTTATTGACATTTTCAGGATGTTCAAAGAAATCAGCTACATCAATGTGTGTAATATCAGCATCATCACTATCATCATAATCATTATTTTAATCAATGAAATTTGTCTCAACACATTTGTTCTTCTTTTTCAATGGTGCTTGGTAGAGGTCAACAAGATGCTCAGTCGTACGACAGGTACGTGACCAATGACCTTCCATACCACACCGGTAGCATTTTTCTTCATAAACTTTCTTTTTTTTTCATTTTTCTGATCGTAGTTATTTTTCCTCTTTTGAAAAATATTTTGTTGTTTGCCACGGTTATAATTTTTCACGGGGCACAAATCTACTACGATCACGGCCACGCCCACGTCCACGGCCACCTCTACGGCCACGTCCATGACCTTGACCGAAATTTTGAAATTGAGTCGCATTCGCTTCAGGGAATGGACTTGCACCAGTTGGTCGGGACTCGTGATTTTTTAGCAATAATTCATTATTTTGTTCAGTCAACAGGAGACATGCAGTAAGTTCAGAATACTTCTTAAATCCTTTCTCTCTATATTGCTGCTGCAGGAGCATATTAGAGACATGAAAAGTAGAGAATATTTTCTCTAATATGTTTTTATCAGTGATTTTTTCGCCACATAATGATAATTGAGAAGTAATTCTGAAAATGGCTGAATTATATTCTTTGACAGATTTGAAATCTTGTAGCCGTAAGTGAAGCCAATCATATCGGGCTTTTGGAAGAACGACCAACTTCAAGTGGTCGAATCTCTCTTTCAAATCTTGCCAAAGGACAAGAGTATCTTTAACAGTAAGATACTCTACTTTTAATCCTTCATCTAAATGATGACGAAGGAAAATCATGGCCTTAGCCCGGTTTTGATTTGAGGTATCATTCTCTTCAACAATAGTATTTCCAAGACCCATTGCCTCAAGATGAATTTCAACATCTAATACCCACGATAAATAATTTTTTCCAGAAATATCAAGAGGTACGAACTCTTGTTTTGTGAGATTAGCCATAAGAATATGCAATAGATTCGTAGGAAAGAATTTTACCTTGATAAGTAGTCAAAAGTTGTTCGGGCAGAGCCTTGACAGCGTCTCGTGCTTCACTTTTGCTTCGCACCTTTCCTTCGCTCAAAGTAAAGACTCGTGTTTTTCCTTCGCTCAAGGTAGAGGTTCGTGCTGATAACGTGTTGTGAAACTAATAAAATAAACTACCAAAAGTAGGGATTGGAATAGTAGAGTGAGCAGAGGAGAGAGATAGAATTATTATCTTTTACTGATCAAAGTACTTCCAGGTTTCAAGATTACAAAAGAAGTAGGATTCACCCCTATATATAGGTGATCCAAGATCAAGGGTACATGAACCCTATTAAATACTAATACATGAATTTAGTACTTCAAGTACATCCATAAATGGGTTCATCCAATGTACCAATGAATCTAGGGAGAATACAAGAATCTATCTATTTGAGAATACAAACGGACATCCACATCTTGTAATCTTTCTTGAGAATATCAACGGACATCCACATCTTATCATTTTTTCATAACAAAAATGACATATTGTAGTGCCTATCAAAGTGTTTGATAAAATGCACACAAAAAGGGAAAAGCTTGAACTGAGGTTTTACCTTTTTTTTTGGATTAAAAGTCACCCGAATGTTAGTGATCGAATTTAATTAAAACTTTTACAGATGGAGCTATAAATTATCCAATTAGCAAGTTGTGATCGGTCATTGAGCAACTTGTACGAAATCCTATAAGTTGCTCAATGATCACCATAAAACTTGCTCCGATGGATATGAAAATTTTTCATTGATCACCTACGTTGATCTAATCCAATGTGGACACTAATCACGTACGTCAAACCTTTGCTGACCTTTTTCCACCAATTCCCTCTTGCTTTTACTTAATCACGTTTCCTAATCAATCATTGATTTTGAGATCATCCATTGAAGAAGGTTCCTAAAATTTCCTACTCGTTCTCTACTTAGGAAGGTCCCTCATTTCCTACTAAAATTGATATATATATTTTTCCTGAATTAAAAAAAGTTCCTAAAAGAATTGAAAATAAGACGAGAAGGCATATCTATACACATATATAAGAAGCAGTTGGAGTTTACTCTTTGGCACAGTTTTCGCCTTGCACTTTCATCTGCTTTGTTTGTGAGGAAAATTTGAGAAAAAATGGGATAAGTTTCATTTTCTTCGTTATACGCATGGAAGCATCATTTGTTTCTCTGCTCTAGGAAATTCACGTGGACAGACGGTGATATCATGGAGCAATGGTTTACTGTCAGAAGCCATTAGTGTGACGACCCCACTTCCTCCTAAGGCGAACCAAAGGGTTTGGCGGGCCGTCTGTCCAGCTCTCGCCGGGACTCACTACAAAACTCAAGCATGAATATAACCGATTGTTCTTAAAAGCTCAAACGGAGTATAATATATCCACCAGTTCAACATACCAAAGTACGAGTCCAATACTTCATCTAAATTTTCACAATAATAACTTAAGTACAATCTTATGTTTGCAATTCAAATCATTCTTACAAAAGTAACATCCCCAAAATGTCATGAGATTTACATTCACTTCAACCACAAGTACATCATACCATAAAGTTCACAAATCTTTCAAAATAACCATTACATTCCACAAAGAAGATCAATCACAACCTAGATAAAGGATAATCCACGGTACTCCAAATCCTTGTGCTTGAGTAACTATCCTTCTCGAGCCCTGCATAGAACTAAAATGTTTTTGGGGGTGAGCTAAAGCTCAATGAGGTTTCAAAAGGGAAAATCAAGTATTTATAAACCAGTGCGTAAGCGTTACTTTGGAAACACATGTAGAAGTAATACTTTTGTTGGCAACTTTATTCTGAGTACAACTCATAAATCATTTAAAAACCACTAACGTACATTTGGAATGCATGATCACATAAATATATTTTCATGAATTTTAGTCAAACAAATAGTGGCTCGTCCGACTAGAAGAACATTACAAGGATTGCTTCGTCTCAGAGATTAATGCTCATGAGGAGTCTTACCCGAGAAATGTCAACTAGGAGAGCAATAACAGTGTTAATAATAAAGCAAACACAAAAGGATACAGTACTCAGTCCACTTCCGTCCTTATAACTCACATTGGTAACTCCTTCGGTTGACTGGCCATCACCTTATCCCTCCAGTGGTAATACTCGAGTATACCAAAATACAGTGTCCAGGGTTATCAACCTATCCGACCGAGTCCGCTTCTGGCTCGAATAGGTGATAACGAAGGGGAAAAGGCCTTGTTCAGCCAATGTGATAAAGTACACATGGCCTACAGCATACGCAAATAACATATAAACAATGAAATATTGAACAGTTAAGCAATACAGCAACAGTTAGGTCGAGTGCGATAAAGTACACACTCGCCTAGAAATAACTACTTTTCATTCAAATGAACAAGATTCATCAAGTATTAGACCACTTAGGCATGAAAGAAGCATTCATCAAGTCACACCACGTATATATATATATATATATATATATATATATATATATAAGCAATTATACAAACAGTGGTTATACAAGTTCGAGAAGCAATTTTGTGCAAAACAGTTTGGAATCCCTCACCGTAATCCGAAGCAAAGCAAGAGCAAAAGCAGGAAATTAAAAGAGCTTCTCGGTGTCCTCTGAATCACCTGAGATTAATCACAATTACAAATTACCAAGATGCTCGATTAAGGCGAATAAAGAAAACCTCTTAGATACACACACTCAAGCCTCAAGCTCAAACAAATTGAAATAGGAAGTTTTAACTTAATCATTGGTATAAAACCAAAAGGAATTTAAAAGTCCCATTTCCGAGATAAATCGTGGCAAGGACTATCAATTTCAAAAGAAGGGTAAAATGCTTAATTTGGCACGGAAATCGAGAAGGTGAAAAATGTGTTCGTACTAGAAAATTTTCAATAAAAGCTCAAGTACTAGAGTATAAGTGAAAAAGAATCATGTTTCCTTGCCGAGCAAGTTTTCTACACTTTTCATTTAAATTTTAAATATTAACGCGCTATTCTCAATCTCTATAACTTGATAGTAAGATAAAATAATTCCACAAAGCTTGATTTAAAAGTACTCAAATTCAACAGACCAAAACGGACTTCACGATTTCAAATTATTTGCACATTGTATTCTTGGTTGCCAAAATAGCCAAATCACAATTCAAACATCAATTTCACTAGGGTTTCATCAATCATTAGCCCTAGGTCTCCACAGATTCAATTCCAAATAAAATTCAACAAAGGAAGTCCAAGGTATCAAGACAATCCAAAACGCAAACCAGGGAACTTCCAAGCACATTTTAGCCAACTACTTGAGCCAATTCACCAAAAATTAAATTATTGCAAAACTATTCGAATGGTCAAGAGCTTCATCAATCATTAGCTCTTGACAACCAATACTCGCTTCAAACACCAATCCATTCAAAATAAGAATAAAAACTACAGCCCACTTGACTCTCAAGTAGTTCTAAAATTCAGATTTTCTTTTCTTGATTCGGTAGTCAAGAAAAACCCAGCAAAATTCAATCCAAGATGTCCATTAAACCTTTAACTTTTACTTGTTAAATTCACTAAACACATAGCTTATCATCTGTCCAAACCAAGCTAAAGTAAATAATACACAAATCCAGCAAATAAACTCACCAAAAGTCCCAACCAGTTCGGTCATGCTGGAAAATATTTTCCTTCAAAAATTGCTTTAGTTCATGTTCCACAAATCAAACAATTATGAAAATTATACTGTTGTAGAATAGATTTTTAATACTATGACATCCCAGAAGACACTTTTCAGAGATTCAAATCACAAATAGGCCAAATATCGATCCAAGTCAAGAATTCAGTTTCCTGAGGAAACAGGACAGCCTACTTTGAGGAATAACGGACAGCAGTACACATGGAGGAAAAATATGAAATTTCTACAAAACAAAGGCCCATGACTGTAGTTTCAAATGCCACTGACGGCACCTCAATCGGATTTTCCCACACCAAGATATAAGCATTTTACTGAGACTGGTCAGAGAAATCCGAAAATCTGGAAACTCATTTTTCACTTGTGAAAAACTCCTTTTTCTCTTTTAAAACCATAAGACTCTTATTCAAACCATCCATACATTTAAGTATGACATTCATACCAGCATATACCAAAGCAAATAACGCTTAATTCCAATAAATTATTCCACCAAAAAGTCCCCATAAATCTGTCATCAGCTAAGATAAAATTTTCCAGCAATTGATAGTTTATTTATATAGCTTTTGTTCCTAGTTTTCTTCAATTCTTACCTCAGCTCAACATGCAAAAGGTGATTAGCAAGCCTCAAGCAAATCTTAAACATCCAATACGAAAATCTGAATTGAAATTCGAAAACAAAACTAATTAAATGCTCACTTCCTTCTCTCGACCAAGCTGGAATATTTTGCAGCAGAAAATTTCCCTCGGTTTCAATCCACAATTCAACTTTTCCTCAGATTTTCTTCCATTAAGCTTCACTTAATACTTAAAGCTAACAATCTATATGCAATTCATAACAAAATTTTCCATTTGACAGCAATTACAAATGCAAACAAACATGAAGTCTCTCGGCTATTCCAGAAAATTTCCAGCAGCTAAGTTAGACGCAAATCTGGATTTTTTTTTTCCAGCTAGAACTTTATATATTTTTCTCTCAAAGCTAACATGCATGACCAATCCATGTATTTACTATCACTCCTAGTTCAATTTAAGTTCGGACATCAACAACATTCAACCACAAATCCAGAATTTTGTTCACTACTCTCGGATGAGCTTGCATGCAGCAAATTCCTGTTTCATTTTTTTTTATCTTCTAGCATAATCCGGCTAATTAGCTTCATGCATGGTTCAAACATCTTGTTTTCAGTTAATTAAACACATTTTTAATCTCAGATTACCTCAGATGAACTAATTAAAAGCTGACATTTCTAGATTAAGCTCTCGGCAACTTCAATTCTTTCCAAACCAGATTTCTTAAGTCTTAATTCTTCAACTAACCTCACAAACATCACATGCAAGTCCATAGCTGACTTCACTTGCCTATAATCAGCTAATTCCAGTTCAGAAATTACCTCAACTAGGAGTACACTCACACGGTTAGCAGCAGAAATTGATTCCCTTCCTCCGGCAGTCCAGAAAAAAATAATGCAGACCGCTAGCTGCCTCTCTCTCCCTTGCTCTGGCTTGCGGCTGATAAAAGAAATTTGGTTCTCAGCCTTCACCAACTCACGGATGGAAGGAGAAATGAACCGCAAGTCACTCTCTTCCCTCTCTAGTTTGCGGACAGAAAGGAAACGAATGAGGAGCTCGGTTCTCCCTCTCTCGGTTGGTCTCCAGTCGCGGCTCACGGCAGCATGGGAAGAAGATGAGAGGCTCAGCTCACTCTTTCTCTCTGTCGTTAATCACGAGGTGAAGAATGGATATGGGGTGGAGTGGTTCACGGTAGTGAAGTGATAAATGGAATGTGTATATATTGGGTATTGTGAGTGGGGTTGGGTCGGTAATAGAAGTGAAATGTGCTGGAATGCAAAGTAGGAATTGGAGCCGGCAGGATTTGGAGTTGTTTGTAATGTTCCATGGCTGCATGGTAGATTTGAAATGGAGGAGGGCTGTTTTAGTCTTTTAGCAACTTGTGCAACCTTTCACTTAGGTCCCTCATCCTAAACTAATTCCAAAATTTACCCCAAGTGTGAATCGAATGCCTACTAATACCCCAATCTCGCAAAAATTCAATTATCGAAATACATTGTCCTACACGTAATTGTAAAAGTTTTGACTTAAAACGATTCATCTTAATTCTAATTTCGCCTTAACACCTATCGTTATTAATACTTAAAATTAACTTATTGAACTCAAGGAATTAAATAGAAACAAAGGCACACTCAACGTCAAGAATTATTAATTTAGCTTGGCAAAATTCAAATAATCTAATGTTTTGCACAATTGAATTATTTGTAATCTATAATGAATTATTTTTGCACACTTATTTAAGATCAAACAATAATAAAGTTTATTAAAAATCTAAGATGCACATAAAATTTATTTCTACGCACGTATTTAAAACAATTAGATTTAATGCTAAAATTTACTAAAGAATTAAAAATGCAAATGAAATATGCACTGATATTTATATATATATTTTCAGGGTTCTCACAATTAGCATTCTTCTTCATAAGCCAAACATCATTTGTTTCTCTGCTCTAGGAAATTCCCGTGGACAGACGGTGCTATCATGTAGCAATGGCTTACTGTCATGAGCCATTAATATTCTTCTCCATAAACCATTACTATTCTTCTTTTATCGGATTACAGTCAGATGGTTGGAGTGTGTGCAATCAAAGGTTCATTAGCTTTGTTGGTGAGGAAAAATTTAAAATGGAGGCACCTGTCTGTTGCCATGTAGAGGGAAGCACCGTTTGTTCCTTTGTTCCAGAAAATTCATTATCTCATATAGATAGATGGTGGTTTTGTGTCATAACCCATTAACGTACTGATATCTTTGAAATTGCATTAGTGTCACTGCATTCTTTTTGTGCGTTCCAAGTGGAGTTTTAGTTTTCTGCCGTCTGTCTTTTCTTTGTGTCAAAGAAGGTAATGACTCTATTTCTCTTCGAATATATAATGATTCTATTCTTGTTGCATGTTCTGTTCATCACCTTCCATTTTCTTCTTTGCAGCTTTTAAACAATTTCCACCTCTTAAACAACTTCCTCTTTCTTTCTTTTGTCGACTTCTAGCTTCGTTTGCTAAGTTTCTCCTTTCCTGCTTGTTATATCTGCAACTCCATCAGCTGGTTGTTATCCGTGCAAGTTTGCTCACCAGTTACAGGTTCGGTTTTATATGCATGCTTATTTTTGTCATTCTTCTGTTTATTGAATGTCTTATCAGTCCAAGGTATGATGCAACACTCCACTCTAAAAAACATTTACAAATTGCTATATACTGAAAAAATTTATTCCTCAACACTCTTCGCTTCAAAATAGATGTAGATTAACTGTGCAACTGGAAGATTACACCAGAAACATGACTTTGGATCTCTATGGAAATGATGCTTCCCAATTGCTTCCTTTTACAATACAAGAGATTCAGCAACAAGAGCAGCAGGTAACCATACATTAACTGAATACATTTTAACTTGCTATTATTACACAAACACCTACATATAACGTACGCTCATAACAACCTGTGACTATGTTTTCCTTGTAGAACGCACTTAATTATCAAGCAATAGAAGAGAATACGAGCAGCAATATAATAATTTGCTTCATCAAGAAGATTGCTTCAAACTATGCCACTCCTTCAAGGTATGCTCCCCTAACCAACACCAAATACTCAGCCATTATGGTACACAAACTTCCCAACATGACCAACACTTCAGAGAGCAGCTCCAGCGGCCTTAGTGGAGAAAAAAACACAACAAAGATGCTCATCGACTCTCCACCACACCCAGTGTGAGAACCCGTAATTTTTCCATTTCCTAGGTTTTATTATATTCAATGGCTTGTTTTCTACATTTTCGTGATTAGGAAAAATTCTAGATACTTTTAAGGAGCAGATATAGTTTTTAGATGATTTTTCTAGTATCGAATAGTTTTTGAGAAATTAAGAGCGTATACCGGACGTGGGACCCGCTAGTGCGGAAAGTTCGGAAAAATTTGGCCAACTAGGTTAAGTTTTGGATACTAGGTTTAAATTATCGGGTGTTATGAGATAATTAGAGGTTGCTATATGGATTGATGTGAAAGGAAACAAAGAGATAGAGATGCATTGATGAAGTGACAAGTGTCACCTTATGAGTGGATTTTGCTTTATGACTACTATTCATTTTCTTACCATTTGACCAAATAAATCAAACAAAAACTACCAAAAATTCACCATTTTCTCCTTCATCTTGGCCGACCTCTTCAAGCAACAAAAGAAAGAAAACTCTTCAAGTTTTTGGCTTCAATCTTGCTTAAATCTACCAAATCAACCACTTAAACTTGCTTTTGTTCCATAAAACCTCTTCAATTAGTGTTGGTGAGGTGATTGGTGAAGTTGTTTGGAAAGCTAAGGTGACTAGTTGCTCTCTCTCTTGTGTTGCAAAGGTGAGTTGTGAAGGAACCCCTCTCCTCCCTCCAATGATGTTTAATTCATGATTGGTGGTGGTATAAGATGCAATTTTATGGATTATATCTTGATTTTTGGTTGAATTGGTGAAGTTTTATAATTATTGGGGATTTTTCTGTTTTCATATGAATATGATTATGTGGTTATGTATGATGATTGCAAATGGTATTTAAGAAAGCTAGAAGGTGGAAAAAGTGGTTAATTGCAAGCAATTTCTGTTTTAGAAAGAAAATTGGAAAGTAGGGTTTCTTTGAATTACATTCTGCCCGGTTTTGTAGCTCATAGTTAGAGGCCGAATTGGTCTTGGTTTAAAACATGAAAGTTGTAGGGAATGATATTTTAGAGGTGCCTTCAAAATTTCAGGTCAATCGGAGTAGCGTAGCTTGAGAAAAGACAGAATTACCCTTGCTGCCCTGGTTTTACTCGAATTTGGGAATTGCTTCTGTAATTGGTTATTTTGGTTAGGAATGCTTCCGAATTGGTTGTTGAGATTTTATGATGAAATGTATCCCTGTTTCTTAGCTTTCAGATGGCTTTGGAATTTCTGGATTTGGACTTAGGTAGGCTGATTTATGATGTTTGTACTAGAATGCGTTCTGTGAATCTATTTTTGCGGTTCTGGTGTAGTAGATTGCATGTTTGACCTGGTTACACTCAAAATTGGGCTGAGTAACCTTCTACAATATTGTAGCCCTATCTCTTAGATTCGAAACGGTGTATCTTGCACCTTTATCCGATAATCGTAGTGCCCTTGGTGCCAATACCGCAAAATGAGATCAAAAACTATTTTTTTCCGGGTTAACACTTACTCCATTTCCGGATTTTTCTGGTTTCCTCTATTGCTTGTGTGTGCTTATGGAACCTTATTTTGGGAATATTTAGCATTGGTTTATGACTCGTTATCGAGTCTCATTGTACTTGTTTGAATGTTTTAGGGCGTGACGGTGGTTCACGACGCTCCTTTGACGGAGGTGCATGAAATATCATTTTCAAGTTTGGTGAGTGTACTACTCACTTGTGTGTTACTATATGGCTTTGATACTTGAACTTGATGAGTTAAATGTTATTGCACCATCGATATTGATTGAAGTGAGGGTGTACTTTATCACTCTCACTTATTTCTCATGTTATTGGAATGTTACATGGAATGTTACATGAAATGAAAAGTACTTGACTTGGTGTCGATTGGACGAGTATCCAACGACCATGATTGTTACCATTGAGCTCAACCCCATTGGTAATTGATTGAATCGAACCGGCGAGGGATTGGTCGTGCCAATTAATGAACCATGGGGATTGTTATATGGAATCTTGTAGTATGAGAGACTCTCGATTCCGGTATACTCGAGTAATACCATAGTGCAAGTGTTTGGAGTTCGGGCCCGGTAGGGGTATGTTGGGTGGAAGAAATGGAAGTAAAGTGGAGTCTACGGTTGGTTACTCTTAAACATTGACGGTGGGTCAATGAGTTTCGATCAAGAATGCAAACGAGGAAAAGGGCTCTTGAGAGCCGCCCGTATCCTTTTATCACCACCATTAATGTGTGCCTTTGTTTACTTTTGATGAATTGGAATGAAAAGCTTTATGCTTATGTGAACTTTGCTGCTTGAGTGGTATTATCTCATTGGGCGTAAACTCACCCTATTCCTTTTGTTTTCTTTACAGGAAAATAAATACTTTTGGACTGCAATTGATAATTGGTTGCCGAATTGTGCTAGTTGGACATATCTTTTGTATAGCTCATTTATTGAAACCCTAAATGTACTTTTGGGACCGTTTCTCTTTTGATTTGGCAAACCAGACATGTATCCACTTTTGAATACTTTTGTATGCCACTTTGGTTTGTAAATGCTAAATTTCAAGATGTAAATATTTGCTTTATATTTAGTTGGGTTCTGACGGGTCGGTTACTATTCATGACCGACTCCATTTTCGTTCTTTTTATTGTCATTTTGACCTGTTTACACGCGTTTGTAAGTTCCGGAACGTTTTAGCTCGCTCTATACTGAACCGTTAGTCCTGGCGAGAGTTGGGCAGGCAGTCCACTAACCCCTTTGGTTCGCCTTAGGGGAAGGTGGGGCTGTCACAGGTGGTATCAGAACTGCTTCGCGTGGTCTCTGCGCGGAGTGAGTTTGGGCCAAGTGGTGTTATGGTCCTGGTTTCGTGCATGCGTCTAAAGGTATAAGTGCTCTTTTGAGCATAAACTATGAACCGTGCATGTCATAAGTGTAGAGATCTTTATCATGGGACTTGAGGAAGTTAGGTACGTATGTCGGGTAGGAATCTTTAATATGGATGATTTACGCTTGGGACCGGCCGGCTCGAGTTGGTAATT